CACTGAGCCATCTCTCCAGCCCCTGGACATATGCTTCTAATCTCAGCACTTGGGAGGCTGAGGCAGGAGGATCACTCAGAAGTCAAGTCCAGCCTGTGCTACCTAGCTAGCTCACCGTCAGCCCTGAACTGCATACTGAGACTTTAGTCTCAAAAAAAAAAAAAAAAAAAAGCTGCTTCATACTCCTCACAAATTACTAATGTTGCCTCAGCGGCACAAGTGCCTCTCTGGCAAGTGAAAGGTCCTGAGTTTTGAGTCCTGGTACCAAAGAAAAAAAAAAGTTTTACTAGTGTTATCATTATTAGCATATTCTAGTTCATGCAAATAGTTTATGTAACATGTATGCCATTATTACATTTTCATTTATAAGTAATCTAAGCCTTGAAAAGTATCAATATACTCCAAACTAACAGTCTGGTCAATAATTTCAAGCAATCTGAGTTTTCTTCTTTGTTTTTAAGAATTTCCTACTTTCCTACCAAAGCAAACATAATAACAAATAATTAGCTCCAGAAAAGCTAAAACATTTATGTCTAATAATAAAACCAAAAAATAATTTAAAAAATTGAATCCACAGTCATCAGCCCAGGCTATAATACTGTTCAGTTCTCCAGCTTTGCCCAATCCCAAAGCACCCGAGAGAGATGGGGTGACGCAGAACAGGCCCCGCCCAACCCCAGGCCAGTTACCTTTCCAGGTTGTAATATTCGAGCCACATGTTGGCATACTTGGCATTTCCTTTGGTCATGATGCTGTCCCAGAGTTCCCGTGCTTTCTGCATATTATTGCACAGCCGAGCCTAAAATGCACCATCAGTGAGGAAAGGACCCGAACACCAAGAGCCACACAAAACGCACTTCAGACGAACATACCCAAGCAGGCCCCAGGAATCCCTCACTCTAGCAGTAACAGCCCAGACTGGCCCCACCTGCCCTTCTGCAGTGCCAAGGACCCAGAGACCTAAGGCTCTTGTGAACAGTGCGGAAATCCCACACTCACAGGACAGCACAGGGTTTTTTGTTTTAAATCAAGCTGAACTACAAGTGTCTGACAGCAGTATAGAGGAAAAAGGGGCCAATCTAGGACTAAATGCCAGACCTACCACTCACAAACCACATGACTCAGGCATCTCTCTGAACGGTAGTCTCCTCCTTACAACATAAGTCTCTCGGCCTTCCAATTCCTCAGATATAAAGCATGCTTAGAATGTGCCAACCCCAATGAGTGATCAGGAGCAGGTCCTGTGTCTCAGATGGGAGCCTCTGGCTCAGCAGTGACATTCAGGGAGTGATATATCTTAATGAGTTATCCATTCACCCATCTTCTACAAGAGACTAGAGCCTCAGTAGGCAAAGACCATATCGATCTGCTTCCTAGCACCTGGAAGAGAGCTGACAAATGGCGCACACAAGCCTGCAGCAACAAGGGAGGGACCGGAGGCATGAACAACTAACTGTTCTGCACAAGGACCAATGGCTACACGACTTCCAGCTGAGCAGTCACCAAGATAAAACCATATGTACATCAACATCGTTCCTAAAACAAATCTCTGTAGCTCTAGGCCACCACATTAGGTCCCAATCCACTTTCATCCTTTTAGAAAAAAATTAAAGACCCTTCAAAGGCAGATGAAGCTTGAGAGATCTGTCAGAAACACTCACCTCAATCCTCGCCCAGTTCTGCATGATCATGCAACTTGGATCCCCGCTCTCACTGAAACCTTCAAGAATGGAATTAGTGAAAATCAGAAATTCTGAGGCAATCCCCCTCGGCTGAAAAGGCACATCAACTCCAAACAGAATGGGCACAGCAGTCAGGCTACACTTACGCTCTTCGACTTCCTGTTGCAGATACTCTAAAGCACGAGTGAATGTAGACCTCAGCTCTTCCAGCTCCTTACTGGAGTCTGTTGGAAAGTCCCCCCCCAAAAAAAATAATGAAGCCACATAGTCTGCCACATGGAAGCCACAGAAATAAAACTGCCAATCTCTGCTTCATCACACAGCACAAGAGAAACAAGAATATAGGGCAAATGGACCGCACAATTGAGGTGAGACCATGACACAGCTGAACACAGGGTGCTATGGGTACTCAGTGCAGAGGGGGGCTACCCCAAATGGGGTGACATAGGTCAACAGTGGAACAGCTGAGGCTGTATGTGTGTAATAGCAGCTGGCACAGTGCACAAGCGCAAGTCCGGGTCTCCCACATGCCTTGAGGGAAAGGACAGGATCCTGCAGAGGTTCAAAGATGTACAAGAAACACAGCAGTCTTATTTTGTTAACTTAGGTGGGTTCTGGTTGGTTTTTTTTTTTTTTTTTGGCAGAACCAGGGATTGAACTCAGACCCTTGTGCTTACCATGGAAGCGCTTACTCTGCTGAGCCATCTCCCCAGCCCCAACTAGGTGAGTTTTAGAAAGGAAAGAAGAAATGAGAGCTAAGGCTGGAGAGGCTGGAAAAACCAGTGTGAAACATAACCATCAAGCTCTTTCTCTTCAGTCTACAGCCTGACTGTTAAACTCATAAATAGCTAAAACTGGGGGTGGGGGACTGGTTGGTCTTCTTTTAAACAAATGCGATATATCTGGGGAACAGGAACATCACAGCAAAGCTGCATTAAGAAAATGTTCAGTTCTGAAGGAAACACATCTCCTTAAATACCTTGTCTGAAGTCAACCCTTCTTCTGAGGTAATCGAGGTATGTCTGCCATATCTCCACATAATCTGTGGCCTGGATGAAGCCAGCACTCAAAGCTTTCTCAAAGGTCACTGGAGTTGGAAGAAAAAAGTCAGGATTCACTGCCAGTTCAAAAGGGAGCTTATACAAAGTTATC